CGCTCACGGGCGAGCTGGAAGGAGCAGGCAGCCGTAGCCGAGCTGCGTTGTTGGGAGCTGGGTGTGGCGCAGGGTGGTCCTTGGGTGCATGTGGCATCTGTGTGTTGGGGAACGAGTGAGTGATGCGAGAGACATACCTGGTGCTGGAAGCGTGCGGCATTGGCCGCTATATGCTCGTACTTTGGGAGAGCTGTTGTCGTCATCTTCGGCATTGTAGTCTAGGCTAGATAGGATCTGTCATCTGTAGTCTGGGCGCCGAGCACTAGATAGGATATCAACATTGGTTCTTCGTTGATGATGATGATGAGACTATTCCAGCATTGTCAATTATGAGCTTTTTTGGTGTGCTCTTATTTGGTGAAACTCGTGATGCAATTCTGCTCTTGGTTCGAGGTCACGACTATCTGGTCTTATGTGTAGGATGCTGTTTGATTGCTGAAGTTCGCTATTGCTCATCTTCCTTGCAGATGGACCGACCTGGATCATCAGGAATAGCCAAAGGCTTGAGCAGTCGCTTTCGTCGTGACACCAACCCGGTATCTTAGAATGAATGGGTTCAGACTCTTTCCACAAATTTACATGACCGCTTCCATCGTGACACCAACCCAGTATCTTGGACATCGGGAATAGCCAAGGACTTGGCAACTTCACACAAATTTACATGACCGCTTTCGTCGTGACACCAACCCAGTATCTTAGAATTAATGGGTTTAGACTCTTCAGAGTCAGGCAACACAAGCCCTCACTCTTGTCATGTGTTCGAAACAGCAAACCGAAACACGTTTGGAAATCAGGCTGGCTTGATGGATTTGCCGGCAACTGTACAAGAATAGGACTAAATGTGTTTTTTTTTATTTAGTTTTTTCTGCTATCGACTGTTAGCGATGACCGTGGAGACCAGTGAACCGGTTTTGAAGGCTTTCCACCAGTTGAGCTGGCGAATTTCACCACTCCGCGCCTAATTCACCGCCTACGTGCCCTTTACGCCTAGTCATTCTGAAAAGATGGAACCATAGCAGTCATCATGTCAGGGCGTCAAGAAAGAGCATTGGCAACTCGATTTTAGCACCCCTTCTTGTATTTCAGCTCAAAGTCGAACTGACCGATTGACAAGATTGGCGACAATCGAGGCTGAGTCTTGACCCACTACAAATTCTGATGATCAGAATAGACTTTGAAGCAGGGTCATCTGGAGCACGAACAACGATTTTGATGCTTGCACGCAGAGGCAGCCAGCCGTTTGGGGGGCAAGTGTCGACTCGTGTATTAGACGGGTCGTAAAATCCTGCAGCATTCTGCCAATGGGATAGCAGGAAAAGTCCGGTGCCCAAGATAGATGACAAATTCCTCCTCAAACTCAGATTTTTCTAAGTCCGGGTGGAGTTCCTTTTCCCTTAATGCAATGAATTGCAGGTTCGAGCGCGCTGTATACTAAGTAGACTGATTTTGTTAAGTTGCTGACCTGGGGGTTCGATCTCTAGACCTATGCCTTGTGTGGAGTTTTGAGCTCTTTGGGGCTTGATGCCCGAACCTGTCCTTTGTTGCTGTAGGCAGTTGGCCCGTTGTTTCCTTGTTATTTTACTTGTCTGCCCCTTTTGCGACTTTTTTGTCTAGGTGTAAAGCCCGTAGGCTGCTTGTTTTGGTCTGTCCTAGTGGTAGGTCGGTCCTAGGCTGTAGAAACGTGAGTGTTGAGGGAAGAAAAGTGTCGAGGCTGATGGGGAATGGGATCTGTCTCTTTTTCTTTTTTTTTTTCACGAAGTAGGGAGGAAAGTCGCGTTGGGGATTGCTGCACGACTTTCAGGAGCGCAGAGCAGCATCTTCTCCAAGTATCTGATGGCCATATCTGCGGCCTGCCAGTATCATTGGTGGCAGCATTGGGATTGCTGCCTTCAGCGCTGGTTGGCGCCTTCTCCGTACAGTGTGCTGTTGGGGGTTATGACAACTGCCTGCGAATCAGCTTTTCCAAGGTCTTCTTCGTCTGGGCAGCCATCTCCTTCTTCATCAAGTTGTTGTTGTTCTTCTTCTTCCTGGGAGCTGCACTCCCTGCTGAGTTGGCAATTCACCTGCTGAGGTCTTCATGAGGGGCGCAGAGTGTCGTGTTGAGTTCAGGAGGGTGTGTGGTGATTAGTAGGCTTGTTGGGTTGGGCGCCTGGTTCCTCCATGGCTAGAGCTTGACGCTGAGGGAGGAAGAAGAAGTCCCCATTCTTGACGAAACTTTATAATAGTTGGTCTTGGGTTAATAACGTGGTTGGGATTCTTGGAAACAGTGTTTGATTGACTGGAGACAAGAGGGTTCATTAGAATGCAATCACACTCACTTTCATTCACACTTCACATGCATGCAAACAGGTTGCGCAGCAAACTGGCGTTAAGCGCCCACTCAGAACTTGGAGATATAGTACCAAGAACGCAGCTCGGATACAAGTTCACTTCAAACGGCTATGGCGGCACATCGCATGTACAACTCTCTGTTCGTCACTTACTCCATGCTGCTGTTCGCACACAGGATCACCCTGGATATCCCACACCCAACACCCTGTACACTCGCACACACCCGCACACACCTACAGCTATGGCGGCTACGGCCGCTGCTACTCTATCGCTATGGCTAACTTCCTCTCGGCCACTTCGTCCTCGGGCTCACTGCAGACCACTTCGCACAAGTTGCTATGGCAGCGCTTCCGCATGGCTTACGCAAGAATGAATGAATGGCTGGGCGTTGCCTCTTGATTTATACTTCTGTAACTCGTTGGTCTGCCCTTTTCCATTGGCCCATGGTGCACACAGTCCCTCATGGTACTTGCTGGACTGGACTGGGATTGACTGGACGGGTACCGCTGACTGCATGGGTTTGCACCGCGGACTCACTGCAGTCACACTGCCAATGTACTGAGGTTGGCTCCACCACTTGCCCACTTGCCTCTGCCTAAACGTGAGCCCACTCCGAAAGGCCACTTCCGGGATCTTTCGGAAGTCTGTGAACTTGGCCTTTCGGGTTCTGTAGCAGCTACGACCTTGACCTTTCAGTAGACCTATAGCTACGACCTTGACCTTTCAGTAGACCTATAGCTACGACCTCTACAGAGTTGTGACCCCTACTCGACAGACCTACAGATCGAATCCCTACATCTGACAGTCCTACGACAAACAAACAACAACTAACAAAACACGGGTCACGGGTTCAAACACTCAGGGGTCAACTCGATACTGTACACAGGTAAGGTCAGAACTAGGGATCGAGCCTTGGGATCTGTATTCTCTACTGCTAGCAGGTGAAAACCGTTTCACTCCCGCCGGCCTAAATTCGAGGTCCTCCGAGAATAACTCAGTCCAAGGCAAGACCTTTACCTTTCTTATCTCTTTCGTAGGCTCTAACTATGTCGGGAGCTGTTTCTAGAAGTCCGGTTCTAGTAAGCCAGCGGTCGTCTTCTGGTTCTTGCTAAGCAAATCGAACCTTGTACTGCTTCTGCAGATGACCTCTACCTCCTGTTCTAAACACATCTTCACCTACAATGCCATCAATGTCGTATCTTCCGTCCATGTCTGGAGGAATCATGGATCTTCTAGATGGAAACTGTTGACTTGTGACATACGACAACAACTTTGAGGTATGACACAAAGGGTAGGTGTGGAGGTGTGTTGGGATCTTTACTGTGTAGGACGGCCCATCCTCTCCGCCCTTAACTTCTAGAACTGGCCACGGTCCTCTATACGCGGGTAGTAACTTCTGCGAGATGTTTTCCTCAGGAGCAAACTCTTTGGACTTGAACCAGACCAGGTCACCTACTTGAAACTGTGACGGGCGACGGTGCTTATTAGCTTGTTCTATCATTCGGTGTTGGGCCTTCCTGAGGTTCTCTTCCACGGTAGCTAACTCTTTCTCGTGCTGTAATGCAAACTCCCTAGTACCGGGCGGTAGCCTGTGAATCTGGTCCCGGTTAAGTCCCTCAAATGGTCTGCGTGGTCTAAAGGACTTGTGTAACCCGTTGGGAGTGCGACAGGTAGACAAGTGCACGTTGTTATTGTACGCACTGGCTACTTTGGGCAACATCTCATCCCAATTGATCTGATCCGGTCTAATGCACATACGCAGAACTTGTTGCAGGATCTTATTCATCTGTTCAGTCTGACCGTTGGTCTCTGGATGACGGTCAGATGACATCAACAACTTGGAGCCATAGACTCTCATCAACTCCTGCCAGTTCTGACCAGTGAACCGGGTGTCTCTATCACTAACTATAGACAGTGGAACCCCGTGCTCACTGACGCAATGATAAAAAAACTTCTGAATTACTGGCTCAGTTCGAGCTTCTGCAGGTAATGGGACAAAAACAACATATTTACTAAATCTATCAACTATGACCATGACTTGGCTCTTGCCATGCCTACTCTTGACGCCAACGTCCATAAAGTCAATGGACACTGAATCTCCTGGCTGATCAGGAATAGGCAGGGGTCTGAGAAGACCTAGGAGGGCACACGTAGTAGTCTTATTCCTCTGGCAAACCTTACAATTGCGAACATACTCTATGCAATCATTTTTCATCCCTGGCCAAGTGTACGCGTGCATCAGATTGGCTAACGTCTTTTGCCAACCGAAACGTCCCTTCGTTTCGTGACATTCCCCTAGGATCAGACTACGGATCTCCTCATTGCTGGGAACGCACAGGTGGTCTACTACGTTAGTCTTCTCGAATAGTAACCCCTCTGTAGTGCCGTAATTTGGCTCAGTTTCTGGGGCCTCCCTAACTCTCTTGAGGAGGTCACTATAAATAGGGTCCTGTGCGTACACCTGTCGAACTTTCTGCTGCAGGTCTCTCCCTGTATCCAGATAACGAACTATCGATCCAAAAAGTAGTCAGCTCTCCTACTCAGAGCGTCCGCAACTACATTATACTTCCCTTTGACTGGCTTGAGCTCAAAATCATACTGGTCTAGTTCGGCGGCCCTCCTAGTCAGCTTAGGTGTCATCTTGGCCTACTTCTTTAACCACCTTAACGTTTCGTGGTCTGAATAGGCTTTAAAGTGCCTCCCAAGCAAGTTATGCTTCCAATGTTCTAGAGCTTGCCTGAGAGCGTAGAGTTCCCTCTCATAGATGTTGCGACCTTCTCCGAAGGCATTCTGGCAGACATGAACTCTACGGGCGTATACCCATTGCCATCGTCTTGCTGTAACACAACAACTATACCGTACTGGCTTGCGTCGGTAGTGACGACGAAAGGCAAGGACGGATCGGCTACTTTGAGGACTGGGTACTCTATCAATGCGTGCTTTAACTTCTTCATGGCAGACGTGCAGTCCTTGTCCCACTTCCAGATCGCTTCTTTCTTCAGCAACCTGCGAAGGGGAGCAGCGAAGGTGGAGAAGTTCCTAACAAACTTCTTGTAGTAGTTAGCTAGGCCTAAGAACGACCACAACTCTGTCAACGTGCGGGGTGTAGGCCAATCTCTAATCGCTGCAATCTTACTATCTTCTGGTTTAATGCCGCCTCCGTCTAAGACATGGCCTAAATACAGAACTTGAGTCTTTGCCCATTCACACTTCTTTGCGTTGATCTTGAAGTTAGCCTCTTTGAGTTTCTCCAAGACCTGCCTTAGATGACCCTCATGCTCCTGGAGGGTCTTACTGAACACTAGAATGTCATTTAAGTAGACTACTACTAACTTGTCTAACCACGTCCTAAACAAGCCATTCATACAACGCTGAAGAGTTGCTGGCGCATTGGTTAGTCCAAAGTGCATAACTATAAACTCGTAGTGCCCATATCTAGTCCGGAACGCGGTCTTATATTGATCATTAGGATGGACCTCTATCTGATGATATCCGGACTTCAAATCTATCTTCGAAAAATACTTGCAACCCTGCACCGATCTAAAAGGTCATCTATACGGGGCAAAGGTTTCGCATTCTTCACGGTAATAGCATTAAGACCCCTATAGTCGATGCACATTCTAAGCTCTCCCTCCTTCTTTGGGACAAATGGAACAGGTGCTCCAAATGGAGGCAAACTGGGCCTAGTCCAACCCTTCTCTAGAGTTCGTCTAGCTGCTTGCGCAACTCCTCCAATTCCCGCAGGGACATCCTATACACTGCTCCTTTAGGAGTCCTACTGCCAGGCTCTATCTCAATGCGGTGTTGGATGGGCCGCGAGACTACTCCCGTAGGCGGCTTAGCTAAATCTACATACTCTTCCAGCAGCTTGGCAATAGCGGGATCTATGGGCTTTTCCTCTTTAGGCTCAGTAACTGGCCTGACATAGGCTACAAAGACCTGTTCTTCTAGTTGCTCCTTCTTTACTAATCTTGCAACTCAGGAGCGCTAAGGCAGCAATGTGCCAGGGAGTTATCTACTCCTGACACGCGGAACAAACAGGCAATCTTGACCCAGCCTGCCGGACTAGGGAGCCTACACTCGTGCTCTCTCAAATGGAGTGTGGCCCCGGCTGCCTCTCCCCAATCCATTCCTAGGACTCTATCGAAAGGAAGGTTGTCCTCTACGAGGAGAGTGAGGGAATGGAGAACTTTTTCCACCCCCGAAAGTACGCCTGGACTCCCTCTACATAATCCTCTACTCGCATCGTGCGATTGTCTGCGAGGATACTCACTATGGGGTCTGCTAACTTCTGGACCTTTAGACCCAACTTCAACTTTTGCAACGCCTTTCTACTGATAAAGCCGCGCGTGACCCCACTATCTACTAGGGCCCCTACTCTACCTCTGAAAATCTCTACATCTACTAAAATTAGTTGTCCTCTACTCTCCTTCTTCATTTTGGCCCAGGCGGGCATCCTCTCCTTTAGCTCATCGGCCACGCCTGTGAGGGAAGTGCCTAGAGAGACCCTAACACAAGCGGTCTCTGGACAACTATCTAGGCACCGGCCTGCAACTTCTGCCATACGCACTTGTGGTGTGGGAGTTTCTTGCCGGCTCGCGCTCGTTTCCCCACATGGCCGTATGGTAGGGGCAGGTGCTACCCCCACCGGCGGCTGCCTTTTGACCCCTGGGCAGCCGAACGGGCCTCTCTATACTTCGGACAAAATTTGATGATGTGGCCAGGGTCACCGCAATATATGCATTGCCCCTGGTCCACACGCTGTTGCCAGACGCGCCGGTCCAGGCCCAAGTCCTCCCAAGGCCTACCCTGTGGCAGACCTGGTTGCCATCCTCCTCTCCTATAGGGTGGTCTATTACCCCTATTAGGCGACCTATTCCCTGAACGGTTTTGCGGGGGACCTTGACCCCTTCCTCTTGCTTGGCGGTTTCCTCCTCTACCACCAACCCCCTGATCACCCTGGGAACGGCCCCTTGAGGCCCCGCCCCGTTGGCCTTGGCCTCTGCCTCCTCCTTGCGGCCTCCCTCCGACCACGACAGCAACGTAAGTCCTCCCCTGGCTAACGCCACTGTCCTCCTCCTCTAGTCCCCACTCAATCTGCTCGTAGGGGACTTCGTCGACACCACCTTCATCTAACGTAAGGATCAAACGATCCTTGGTCTGCCTGACCCGAGATGGTGCGACCCTTCCACTTTTTGCCCTTATCTAGGTCCTTATGCCAAAAAAATGGAAATTGACATGGACCTCGCTTCGAACGCCACCACTTCCCTGCTCAATGCGTCGTAGGTCATGGTGGGCTGCTGGCTCTTCTTGAAGAAGTGCCCTCGTAACTGTTCGGGCATAGCCTGGTAGAAGAGGTTGACAACTGGGTCTCAGTAACCCCATGGTGAGGAACGGCTACCAACTCATCCATCACACCTTTGAGTGCCCTAGCACTCTTCCACTGTCGAGAGTGGATGGTTTGCAGTCGATCGGAGGCTTTGAGGCTGCACGAGACTTAAGAAAATCATTGAGGGGAGTGAACACAGAGTAGGCGACTAAATCATCATTGCAGTTGGCTGCGCGGCACAGGGACGTGGCAAAACTGGTTGCCTCCTCCCTGAGGGCATGAATGGCTATTAGGACGTGCTCATCCGGGGAGACTTTCTGTAGGTGCACGTATGTTTTGATATTGGTTTCCCAATTATCAATTTTTTCTTCCTTCTTCCCGCTATAGGAAAATCCGGGAACTTGACCTTGACTGGCTCTCTACGGGGACGTGCTTCCTCCTCCTTGGGAACAGCCATGCTGGCGCCTTCTATGGCACCCGTACAATAACGTTATGTGCCCTCTAGGCGGGCCCTCACCTCTGAGCCCACCTGCGCCACCAATTCCCTGGCGAAGTCCCGGAGCCCCAGCCGTATAGAGCGTAAGGCAATGTCCTGACCTCTACCAAATAGATATTGTTCTTCCTGGACCTGTGCCAGGCGCTCTATGTTTCTCGCCATTATCTCCATCCTCCCCAATAGGTCCACCTGCGTTGCCATCTGCTCTCTTTGCTTCTTCACCTCCGCTAATTCTTTCGCCGCATGGCTTGCCGCCTCCATTCTTCTTTTCCTCTCCCTCGTCAATCGGAACTTCCACTCCATCCTCTTCTCATCCTCTATCGCCTGCCGCTTGAGTGGGTTTTCTTCTGCATCCCACTCTTTCATGGCGGCCTCTTGTTCTTCCCTGGGCACATACATCAGTGCCTCCTCTTCTTCCCCCAGGGATAAACCAGCAACCCACTCCGTAATTTTCTTCTCCATCTGATCTTCCTTTGTACCACTAGATTCACCTCCTTGCCCCCTTCTTCTCCTTTCCATCGGTTGTTCTTCTACCTCTTCCTCCTCTTCTACCGCTTTCAACTTCTCTTCCTGCTCTTTCCTCAGCCTCTCTCTCTCTCTTTGGCCATCTCCTCCTCAATCTTTCTCAATTTCGCCGCTTGTTCCTCCATCAGGGCCTTCTTCTTGGCCTCTTTCTTTTCTTCTCTCTCTTTCGAGAGGGCGGCGACTTTCGCCTCCTTTTCTGTTGTGTAAGGGGAGGTGCTCCGGGCACTACGCGTGTCAACCATGGTGAAAGGTGCACAACCAAGTGACAGTTCCGCTCCTCACCACTTAGACTCTCCCCCTAATTGACTCAGTCTATGGACCACAGGATCCGTATGGAACCCTGTCAACTATGGTCTCTAGCCTAGACTCTAATACTACAGCCATCACTACAGGATCTGTTGCTGACCAGGAGGCATTTAAGGAGATCCCCCGTAACTCCTCAGGAATTCTTTAACGTTGCAAACAGGACGACGCGGTCAGCAGATCGTGTCAAGACTTAGACGGCCCGTTGTGCAGCACACAGCTCGGATTTTGGGCCTACCGTGCCACACCGAGCAGCCCGTCGGTCAGTACCGGTCCTTGGGAGGGTTCGTGTCCTCCGGGACAGTCGAGTCGTCAGACTCAGTCTTTAGCCCTAAGCCCGTGTGGGTTTGGTCAACGAGGCCCTATCCTTCGTACACGGAGTTCTTTCACCTGGACAGAAGAGACTCAATCCAGAAAGAAGAGACAAACAGACTCAGACTCAGCAAGTACCATAGGGTGAGTGCACATCCATAGGGCGAGGGGAGAGGCTAAGGGCTTGGCGAGATTTTACCAACTCCAGCTTGGTCAAAATCGTGGTCAACAGCTCCGGTCAACCCTCCAGTCAACGTCCGGTCAACCCTTGGTCAACGCCCGGTCAACCTCCAAGTCGGCTATGGCTGCTGGCACCTCCTTCCTCGCCACCCTTCACTTCTCTTTCCTCCTCCTTCACCTTTTTTCTTTCTCCTTTTCTTCTCTTTTTTTTTTTTTTTTTTTTT